TTTGCTTCCTGCTCTGTTACACCTTGAGCCTAAGTGAGGTGGCTGAAATTCTGCAAAACTCCCGCGGCGTTGTGTCTGTGGGAAGTTGTAACAAGCAGAAGCCACGGTTTCTTTTGCAGCTGTTCCTCCACGCACAAAGGACGCGGGCAGTCTCCATACCTGTGAGCAGTGCCTGAAATAAGAAACGCAGAGCAGGAAACAACTGGGTCAATAGCTACTTGGAGGAGTGGGCATCGGCGCAGTGGCAGGGACACCTGCATCCCATATCCCAGTGCCTGGGACCAAATCCTGGCTCTGCTCCCCATCCCAGCCTCCTACTAATGTACACCTTAGCCCTGAGACCCTGGCTCCCAGCTTTGCCCTGGCCTGGCCCGGCCCAGGCATTTGGAGAGTGAGCCAATGGGTGGGAGCTCTCTTGCTTGTTTTGCCTCTCAAGGAAATAAACAAGTAAAATAGAGATGACAGTTTAAAAAAAAAAAAAACATAAATAGAAGCCTATCTTACAAACAACAGAAGTTCACGGCGCCTCAAGAAGCCAGCAGGCTGGGTTGTTTGTGATCCTGTCTGCTCTCTCCTGCCTGGCAGCCGTTCCCTTCCTGCCTGGCAGCCGTTGCCTTCCTGCCTGGCTGGGGTCGGGGGAGAGGTGAAGGGGTGGGGGGGATTTCAGGCTCCATTGTTTCCCAGCACCTGGGGCCAAGGGAAGCCAGGAGGAAGCAATTGATGACACCACTGTTGTGAACAGTCATTCCCAAGGAGACCAAGGGAGGCTCAGGAGGGGTTTGCTTTAGCTTGCTTCAGGGTCCCTTAAAAACTCAGAGGTGTGCCCGTGTCCATGCCCGCTCTCTCTTCCTCGTCGCCTGAGGATTCCCCAAGTGCAAGAAGGGAGTGCAGGCCTTGGTTTTCTTCCTCCACAGTCTTGGGTGGAGGAGGAAATGGAATGACCCGGGCATCCCTTTGTTTAGCTCCTTCATGGTGACCCACGAATTCTGTGGACCAGGAAGGGAATTGAGCCGAGTCAAGAGCAAGGTGGCCCTGGCCTCCTCGTCCAGATGGCAGCCCCTTCCCAGCCTGCCCCAGTCTGTTTGTCAGCGCAGTCAGTGTCAGGCGGGGCAGCATCTCCCAGCTGGAAATCATGGCGCCGCTGCCCACCAGCAGCCTCCCGTCTCCTGTGCTCCAGTTATATGTGGGTGTGTGACCAACTGTCGCACACGCAGGGTCCCGACAGCACAGGGTCAGCAGCCCCTGTGGTTCTGGGGCTGACTGGGCTCAGGATTTCATGTTAGTGCAGCCAGGTGGAGGCTGGGTTGGAGTCAACAGAAGGCTTCCATATTGGCACATCTGGGCTGGTGGCTGCCACAGCTAAGGGGGGCTGGTGGAGCCTCTCTCTCTCCCTCCTCCTCCTTCTCTCCCTCTCCCCCTCTCTCCCTCCCGCCCTCTCCCCGCTCCTTCCTTTTCCCTCTCCGTGGAGCCCCCTGCCTGACTGCCTTGGGCTTCCTCACACCATGGTGGCCTCCGAGGAACCCGACTTTTCATGTAGCTGTGGGCTTCCACCAGAGTAACCATCTACAGGGTCCAGAGGGAAGCTGCAAGCCTTGTAATGATCTGGCTTTGGAAAGCCTACAGCATCCTCTCCACCACGGTCTATTGGTCAGCAGGTCCCCTAGGACTGGAGAAGATACCGGGGGAGCAGAGTTGGACTCCCTCTCTCCGTGGGAGGACGGTAAAGCCTGCAGAGCCGCAGTCACGCGGCTGTGATGGGAACCATGACAGGCAGGAGACCAGGACCCTTCCCACTGAGACTGGCCTCCATATCGACCACCAGTGCCACTCTGGGCTCTATGAGGACCCCCTACATGGGTCCGTGTCATGGCTGAGTGCCTGCTGTTTGTAGATTGTCATCTCTAGACGGGAAGTGCCCCAAGTGCAGACTGGAGTCCCAGCACAGCAGCCAGAGACCAGCCCTTGAACGTGAACATCCATGGCCCTGGTTGTTTCCCGGGCCTGGGTTACTGGGGTAGAGAGCAGGGGGAGCTGGCCAGGCTGCAGGCGTTGTAGGAAGCAGGGCAAATCAGTCCTGGGGAGACAGAACAAGAAATCCACTCACTCACTTCCTTCATTTAGCCGGTCAGCAAGTATTGAGTGACCACGTGCTGTGTGCATGAGCCAGCCCAGGCTGCTGGTACAATACCAGACGGGGTGGCTCGAACGGACTTTTCTCCTCGCGTGTTTCTGGAAGCTCCAAGTCCAAGATCAGGGCACAGCCTGCTAAGCTTCTGGGGAGGTCTCTCTTCCTGATTGCACACAGCCACCTTCTTGCTGCGTGTTCCCGGGGCCTCTGCTCTGCACAGCCATGGAGAGAGATGTCCGGATGAGGACACCAGTCCTGTTGGGTTAGGGCCCAGGTTTATGATCCTGTTTAACCTGGGTTACCCCCATAAAGGCCCTAACTCCAGAGGTAGTTATTTTGGGGGTTAAGTGTCAATGTATGAATTTTGAGGGGACACAATTCAGTCCACTGTGAGGTCAACGGCAGCTGCTGACTTGTGTTTAACACGCATCTGACTCCCTGGGCCTCAGTCTTCTCACCTGTAAAATGGGTGTGGGGAAGGCGGCAGTAGTCCCCGCCACATGAGGGCTATTCTGGATTTTAGTGGGATCGGGATGGAGAGGGCTTGGCTCAGGGCTTTGCTCTCAAATGATGCTATTTCTCCAGGAATTTCTGTAGAATTCTGAGGAAACACATCTCTGACTTTTTAATTCTATAGTTGAGTCATTCATTTATTTGAGAGGACAGAGACAGAGCTGCCTTCTACTGGTTCAGTCCCCAAGAATCAAAAAATACCAGAGCTAGGCTGGGCCAAAGCTGGGAGCTGAGAACTCCACCCAGGTCTCCCACGTGGGTGGCAGCGACCCAAGTACTTGCGCCGTCACTGCAGCCTCCCGAGGTTCACGTTAGCAGGAAGCTGGAGTCGGGAGCAGCACCAGCAAAGTCTCCAGTGTGGACCATGGTGTCTGAACCCCCGGGCGGAACACCCACTCCCCCAGGGCTAAAGACGCTTAAGCAGATCTTGGCCCTGCCACCTGCTGCCTCCACAGCTTTGAGCAGGTGCCCTGGTCACCGTGAGTCTCTGTTTCCTCGTCCATGGACGGGGATGGTCCCTCCTGTCTGGTGAGATGGACAATCTGGCATACAGTAGGTGCTCAGCAAGAGTTGACTGCCTTCCTGTCCTCCCCTTGGTTAGAGCTC